AAAGAAAAAAAAAAGGTCATGGGAAGGAGCAGGCAACGTCATTCCTAGACTCTTGGCTCTGAGGGCCACGACACGAAGGCCTGCAGGCCATGCTAAGGAATGCAGACCATCTCCCAGACAGAGGGTACAAGCTGAAGAGGAGCGACAAGATCAGATACATACTATGAATAACTTGTTATGGGCACTGGTTCTGGGCATTAACTCCAGATCTGGCCCCAAGCCAGCAGATGAGTGACAGTGGCAGGATGCCAGGCTGAACTGTTTACCTCGTCTCCCACCAAAAACGTTCCCAGAACACCGGCCCCAGGTGCTCACCTCCTCCTTGGCGATGGTCATGCCATCCTGCACATCTCCAAACACGGTGGGCTGGATGAAGTAACCACGGTCAGCAGCAATGCCCCCACCACACAGCAGCTTCGCCCCCTCTTGTTTCCCAGTGTTGATGTAGCCGAGGATCTTCTTAAACTGAGTTTCATCCACCTGTGGGAGAAGGAACCCAGAGTCATGGAGGCATCAGATTCAGACCTCTCCTAGGCTTCAGGCTTAGAATTACGCAGGCAACAAGACAACTGGGAAACGGACCAAGGTCATGAGTAAGCAAGATCAGAAGAGGAAACACACAGTGCCAATAGCAGAAAACACCAAAAAGGCCCAACTTCCTCAGCGTATCAGAGAAAAGGACATCAAATCAATTTTTACTTTTCAACTGTAAGATTACCAAAAAGTTTAGGAAGAAAATACACTGATAGCAAGAGACTGTTACATACACTGTTAGAAGGATGACAGGCTGGTACAGCCTTTAGAGCAAGTGGTTTATTAATATTGCTCAAAAATTACATGCTCAGACCCTTTGGCCCAGCTATTTAACTTCTAGGAATTTATTCTACATATGCACAAAGAGAAATGAACAAGGATATTCACTAGGGAGTATCTTTTTTTTTTGTATTTTTGTTTTTGAAATGGGGTCTCACTCTGTCACCCGGGCTAGAGTGCAGTGGTGTGATCTCTGCTCACTGCAACCTATGCCTCCCACGCTCAAACGATCCTCCCACCTCAGCCTCCCGAGTTAGCTGGGACTATAGGCATGCACCACTATGCTGGGCTAATTTTTGCATTTTTAGTAGAGACAGGGTTTCCCTTGTTGCCCAGGCTGGGGAGCATTTTGTAAAGGCAAAAGATGGAAGCAATTCTAAGTATAAATCAGTAGAGGGGTTGGTTAAAATTATTACGGTGCATCCGATATATTCTATATAGACTAATAGATCACTAATAGATCTGAGAACTAACTGACACAGAAAGATGGCCCAAGATATTCC